TCTCTCTCTCTTTTTTTTTTTTTTTTTTTTTTTTTTTCCCCGTTTCTCTCTCTCTTCACGCCGGTACGTGTGGCATACCAACAAAACAACACGAAACACTCCACCGTGTGAAAAACCATCATTGTGATTATAGTTTCACAGTAGAATAAAACCATCAAGACTAAACTCTCCTAAGCGTCCCTCTAATCCCCCGAATGGCTCATTTTTTAAATTCAGCCCGAGGATCTAACGCCACGAGCATATATACAGGCCCGGCTCTCGGCGCGCGTATATAACACACCACACGCAGCGATGAAAATTTTCTACGCGGGTTCTTGCAGACCCGCACGCACAAGACGTTACGTAATGCCCGTGTCCCCGAAATTTTTTTTTTCCCTCCACTCCGATCGACTGATCTTGAAATTCCGAGAGAAAGTTCTCTCTATCTCTCGTCTGGGTGTGTTTTTACGCCGAATTGTTCGGCAGTAGGAGAAGCTGAACTACCAGAAGAAAGTTAATATCCCGTTTTTTTTTTTTTTTTTTTTTTTTTTTTTTTTTTTTTTTTTTTTNGTGCCAAAAGACAAACAAAAAAATCAGATGAAGTAATTAACCGCAAGTGAATCCACCGGTAAATGTGAAAGGGTTTTTTTTCCTCCTTCTTTGGAGTATGTGTCTTTTTACGCGTACATGTGAGAAAAGTGCCATTTTTAATGTTATTGAGAAAAAAGAGCAGTATTTTTATTTTTAGGTCAAAAAAGGGGTGGTGTTTCTTTTTTCACTATTTATTTATTTATATTTATATATTTTTGTTTTTCATTAAACACATTAATTGCTTGTAAAACTTAATTGGTACTTGAGTATAAAATTTTTTTTGTTATTTTAATAAAATTCAACGTAAAAATAGTTTTTTTTTTTTTTTTATATTTAAAATACATGTCTACAAGAGTACGGCTGATGATTTTTAACAATTTATTCCGTGTGGCCATGGTGCTCAAAATTTTATATTTTCCAAGCTATTTCAACCAGTTGCTACATAATGTTCAATAAATCTGACCGCTTCGTTACACACAATGGGTTACTCCATACCTTTATTATGTAAACTCTGAATGATGCATACGCGCCAAAACTTGCACACCAAACTTAATCACGAGCCAAACCCGTTTATCATGTAGATTAACAAATAATTTAAAAAATCCAAAACAAAAATCCCTACGCACAGTTTTCCTCTACCTGGTCAATGGATTATTTTTTTCGACAATAGCTACATTTCTCTTAAAAAAAGGAAATCACACACATCAGCCAGGTGTGAAAACACAAAGGAAAATGACACCAGATTTATCGACTACATACATATATTTACGCACGTACACGCGGACACGTACATCAAAAATCCACTTGCGCACGCGATGTACACTCGCAACGCTCACGCAACACGCGAGCGTCATATAACATAACACGGACAAACGGGCCACGCGGAGGCGTCGTCTCGCGGGACGACATACAGTATAAATGTATACCTGGTGATGGCCAAATTCTCACACACACGCACAGACCCGCGCATCCCACACCATACAAAGTATCACATGCATGCACGTTATATTAAAAATATACTCGCGGGTATAACTTTCACTCTCACTGGTACGACAACCCAAGCCGGGGTGGGGGGGTGGCTTTTGCGAAAACCCGCTACTTGCGGTTTCAAAAGATCAAAGAACCTTAAGGTATAACAAGTACACTGGTGAGCCTTCGTTCTTTTTTTTTTTTTTTTCTTTCTTTTTTCTTTTTAATATAATTACGGGCCGGAGCAGTCAACCAACAACAACGCGGGTTGGTACGTGTATATGGAAACCACTCGCGTTTAATCGCTCGCGGGACCTTCATCGGCGCGCGGTATGGAGGATGTGTACAGGGATGTGTATATATACATTTTTTCGCTTTCAGTATATATACGCGCCGTCTTTGACATCCTTCTTTGCCGAGTCTGTGTTATACTGTACACGGGTAATGTATAAATTACGCTCTCTCTCGCATGGAGAGAGAGAGAGAGCATAGGGTACGCGTACGAGTATAAAATCGTTATTTACGTTCATTGTGCGATCGTAATGGCTCTCCCTCCCCTTTTTTTCCTTTTTATTTCATACACGGGCACCCCATCTCGGTGCAGTGCTGTTATTAACGAGCCTACATGGGAATCCTTGAATATCGAGTATTTTCTTTGCACAGACTCCTGCTGCGGCTTCTTTTTTTTTTTTCCCTCTCGTGGAAGCGGCGCTTCGGGTTTTTTGTTTCGAAGATGGTCTTTTATTTACCGCGTGGCGTTTTATTGGATTCTTTTAAAGGGGAGGAGATTAATGATTTTCCAATTGCCACGGTGTGAGTGGTCAATTCAGCTGTTGGTTTTTTTTTTTTTTTTTTTTTTTTTAGTGCTGCAGGATAGCCTCGGTCCTTGATTGAATTTCGAGATTCGGTTGGGCGTCAGTTTCAATTAAACGAGATTTTTTGACGTCATCATTAAAAACGTTGTGTTTTTGACGTTTGCGTTTCGATGCGACCAAGAAATTATGAATAGAATTAAAATGTAATAGAGTTAAAAGTGAATGCAAAGCACTGCTATAACATTTGTGCGAGTGTTAGATTTTTAGCTATTTTATTACTAATACTTAATTTTGGCAGCGACATAGTATTTATAACAGTGATATTCTTTACTAATTCGTTAATTTTTTTTTTTTTTAATTTAATAGTATTCAAGACAATTTATTAGTTTTCTCATTCTCTTGATTCGAAAAAAAGTTTTTTTTCTACTAGATGAATGACGTGAGTTACTGTTTGTAACCATGCCATAATTTTATGAGCATTTTATTTTTAAATATATACATAAGCTCCTAATTCATGATTTATGTAATCGTGAATATGATCAGTATTGAAAGACACATTCATGAATCGCATTGAGCAAATTTTTGAAACTTTATGGACGTATTATGTCAAGAGTGAGCATATACATAAATTTTCACTTTACAATTTATGTAGCATTTCATGTAAATTTAAGGTATTTTTTTCTAAAAAAAAAAATTTTTCTTTGATAGAATTTTTGATGCTAGAAAATTTTCAAAATATAAACAATGAATGTTCTTAGACATTTGTGTCGTAAGTCACTAATTTTATAGAGTAAAAAATTTGCTATTAACATTAACATATGCTAATCAACAAATATTTGACTCACAAGTTGGAGAAAAAAAAAAGGTTTATTAAAAAAATAATTCATTAAAACTGTGTGACGTAGGTACACTTTTTCACAATATTTTTTTTATTACATAGAGTATTTGAAAGTGTATAATAATATAACGCTAAGGATATTATGGTATTTTAATTATTATACTTCAATTAACCATACCTTTTTTTTTTAACGAAAGCAACCTCCTCTTCTACTCGGCATACGACTAGTCAAAGCTCATAGATATCCCAATGGGTATTCAAAGTCCGCCTGTAACACAATAAAAAATATGATTACCCAATAAATCAGTACTAAAAAATTTTATTTATTTTTTACAAATCCTTCATAATTTAACAATAATCTTGTATGAATTTTTTTTTTACTTATTCATATACTATAAGGTGCCTGTACATGATTAAACTAAGAAAAAAACTAATGAATCGTACATGGTTTTGTTTAATTTTCAATCGAAAGATGGATATCTCGTTACACTATGAAGTATAGCGCCAATATAAGAATACAAGGCACGCCTCAGTGGAAAAACTTGAACCAAACAATTTTCGACTCTACAAAAGCACACGATGTATTTTTTTTTCTCTCTCTCTCTTCCAATGAGAACACCTGTAAAAAGAAAGTGAAAGAGCGCGTACAGCCTATAAGCTTTAACTATTACGTTCTCGGCACTCCAGCGGCGTATAACATTGTATCAACGCGCACTACTTACTCCCTCGACTCGCGTACACACGTAATCCTCGAATAACATTTAACACCTGCGCCTCAAAGTTCATTGTAACGGCTCGAGTCATTGTCGCCTCTGATTATTGTTTTTAAATATCACCGGCTTACGAAAGGAGAAAGTTCATAATCTCTCGGTCGTTGTCATTATTCTTTTCAATTCCGCCGATGTACCATTATACTTTATGATAAAGCCCACTTTATATTATACATTCGGGTATCACGTGTCTGTTGTCACTGCGGGGAAAAAAAGAGCCATCCATCAACTTTCTAAAACGGGAGATCCATTCAGATCCGATGAACCGATGTACACACCGTCGAGTCGTTTATTTTTTAAACATTCAATTTCCGCGCGATCAACCAAACAGTAAAATAGCTCCGTGAGTGATTTATATTCGGCGTATGTGATGTAAGCCGCGAGATCACACCAACTCGAGGATCCGAATAATGGCCTACCCACATACTTATGGGCCTCGGAGAAATTGTCGGGTGCGCGATAACGAGCTCGCACTCTCTGATGATGATACTGCATTACGCGTTGTTAAATATATATTTGTATGTACGGCCCGTACCCACATGATGTGTGTATGTGTGTGTTATGCATATATAGGTAGCGCAACGCCGGTAGCATACAAAGATGCGCTGCACGACCGCGTTATTAGACGGCGGATTGCGCAAGCGAGTGTTAAAAAAAATAGTTGGGTATTCATGTACGCTCCTTGTCGTCTCTAATCCTAACGTTGTTTTTAACCGTTATTTTGCATTATTGTGGATGATCCCAACGGTATCTCGCGCCAAACATTTCAAACTTTGCACAGTTTTTATTCAAACTTTTTTTAAAGAAATTTTTCTCAAGAGCCAACGTTTTTTAAATGTAATATGGTGCATTTGTAACGTTTCGCCTATCTATTAAGTTTACATAAAATGTTAACTCTATCGTTTTTTTAAGAATTAGATAATGCTTTTACAGCCAATTCCATGATTTTAACAACGATTTTCTAACCGTCACACAAAACGTTTCATACGACATTGTACGGCGCATAAATTTCAACAACGTTTTGCAAACATTATATGGTAATTCTGCATCGTTTCAAATATTGTTTTGGTAACGTTTACATACAATTTTGCATTCAATGGTTTTAAATATTAGATGATGCTTCACCAACGAATTTCAAGAGTTTAACAAACGTTTTTCTAACGGCTCAACAAAACGTTTCATGGCAAATTTAACAGCGCATACATTTTTTGGGCGTTTTAACAACGTTTCATAAACGTTTCTTCGATTTTTGATTAAAATCGTTTTAAAAAAAGACAAGTTTCCTATGATACAGCCTTTACGTATCGATAAAAACATCAGCCGCATCGGAAAGTGATACCATATAATATAAACTCTGGACGCGTGTAACGTATATATCGCGCGTACGCGCCAATGCCAGCTACATGCAGTGCGGCAAAGACACCTCGTTCCTAATAGCGAGTCCATAAATCAGCCAAACCGATCTGCATTACCATTACCGCGTTTGTATACATTATAGTATACATATATATACCACTCGCACAAAGTGTCAGTATCAAAGAAAGTCATCGCGCCGCGCGAGCCACTAACTCGAATCCTCAAAGGATCCCCCCGATTCGCGCACCTGTTAACCAAGTATACACTGTATATATATATGTGTTATTTGTCAATACCGATTTACCCACGAAACCGATAACTCCTCGGCGAACGACTTTCGGCACTTGCATAAAATATACACTTCTATTCCAACCAAGTACGTATGGGTACCGGTCGTTGCGTCACGAGGAGCCGAGAGAGCGAATCGCTATCGGCGGTGGAAATCTTCCTCTCTATGTGGACTCTCTTTCTCTTCGAAGCCGCGACGTCGCGGGCTCAAAAAAAATTCGGACCGGCGTTTGAACTTTTCCTCCCGACTCGCCTATAAGATCTGACGTATACGTCACAGGAAATCGTACACGCTCAAGGAATACAGATGTCCTTCCACTTGCCTCCCCCCCCCCCCAAAGTCCGTGGCTTTTTAAAAGATGTATATGCATAAGCGCCGCAACAATTTCTCCATTCGTCCGTACACGGAAACCACGTCATCGGGTGTACGTCCCACGCGTTACACACGGGCGATATATATAAATCAACGCTTCGGCAGATCGGTAAGCATATTTTATTTTTTTCCCCCATCCCATAGCGTCTGGTTTACATATAGCGCGCTCCACGCGTGGCCGCAGATCGGGATATCTCGTAATTAAGATTCGGCGTTGGGTTCTCGAGAAAGCGATCGCGTAATGTCGTTGTCCGCGTATACATTGTGAGCTATAGGTGTGCTTCCTCCGAGTTTAGAAGCTGGCGCCGCGGGAAAGATTTGTGGAAATTCTTCTGTAGAAAAATATACGTATAGTTTGGGGTTATTGGGAAGTTCATTGCGGGTCGCTGGAAATATAAATGGGCTTCCCCGCGATGATGCAACTCGGGCCGTTGATATTCGTTTACGTGAAATGTGTATTAAATTTTACCGAGACGTTTGCAAGTGTTTCGTTATTCGTTGTTACACGATTCAAGTTCAGCTCGAAACAATGGAGTGTTTTTTTCCGAAAAGTCTGTTTTTTTCATTATTTCGCTGCGTATACGCGTGGTGCATGAAAATAATTACAGCCATACCGATTCCATAAATCACATTTCAATTATTATGGCTGTATTAATTGAGATTGCGCCATTATTGAGCATGTGGCTGATGGACTTGTTTGGCTAACGATTGACTACAACAACAGACACACATTTTATTTTTCAGTATAAGAAAACAAAAAACCTTTTACCGATCGCTAAACGATCATCTCTCTCGACCGATCAAGACTCTGGAATCGAAAGAGAGATGCGAGTTTTCCAAGCACACGAGACGAAAAATAAACAAAAAAAAAAGGTTGAACCAGCCCAAAACCGATTCAACTCGTTATTGCGCAACCATCGGCAGCCAAATGTGTATATGTGCGTGCACGAGAGAACCGATAATTTCATGTTTGCCGAAAGAAAGTTCGCGTCGTAACACTTTTTCGCCTCGATACGCGAAGCCCCTTGAGGGGAGAACAAAAAAAAAAAAAAAACACACGCAAATTTGCAACATAGCGCATAGTGGCGACAAAGGAGTCGGTCGTACGTGCATTTACGAAAAGCAGATTGTTCAGCCGAGAGACTTTTTGTTTGGAAAAGCCACATAATACATGACGAGGATCTAATCGTTCTCGTATACTTACACACTGACTCTCTCGCGTGCGTCTCTTCCTTTTGTGCTTATATGTGTATATATTGTACACGTGTATGTTTGAGTCCTCGTTACGTTACGCAAGATCTCTCTCGAACACTTGTACAGGTAAGTGCAGTGAAAAAGACTTTCTTTGTGATGCATTTTGTTTTTTCTTTTTTTGTTCTCCCCCCAGTAATTTACACACGCGTGCATGCTATACGTGGGTAAGAGAGTAGTTACGAGAGCGAGGAAAGATGCATCAGATCGCAGGGCTTCCAATGAGTGTAAATTGCGGTTAAATAGCGCCACGAGCGCGAGAGAGAGCGTTTTTTTTTCCTCCATCGAGGATTTATTACTGTAAACGCGTGCCTTTGGAATCGATTGGCTTTGTGATCTTTTTGTACATTTTTTTTTTTTTTTTTTCATGCTGGAATCCGTGAATTCATGAGAATTGAAAAATTTGTACCATAGTAACGAGTAAATTACAGGTGTTGTGATGCAAGATTACGTTCATCTGCGCCAATCGGGAACAGATTTAGGATGGAAAATTCAAATAAGATAAAGTATGCGGATAAAGTCGCATCTCGTATATTACGCAACAATTGCGCAAAAATAGTACCTATATATTACGTGACAAGTATGTGGGAGTAAATACGGCCTCAAAGTTGGCGTTTCTCGCACGAGTTTCTATATTTTTTACATAGTTTTTAAGATGAAAGCGTGAAGTAAAAATGGAGTGTCCCAAAACATTACTTCACTCGCGGTGCTAGAATCGGTCACTTTTTACATTACTTGTTATAGACATAAGCAGTTAAACTTCACATACTGTGCATTAAAAAAAATACTTGATTAACGGTGCTAGAATCGGGAGTCTGTACAGGAAAGGTAAATTAAATTTCACGCACAGAGTCTTAAAGAAATTGCTTTACTTGCGGTGTCAGAATCGGTCACTTTTTTCCATTACGTCTAGGCACGAGAAGTTGAACTTCACGTATTGTGCATTGAAGAAAAATTACATCATCAATGGTACTAGAATAGAGAGTTTTACGTACTCTATGTAGAAAAGGTAAGTTGATTTGTGGGCACATAGTATTAAAATAATTACTAGATTTGGGAACTTTATATATTCCGCGGAGGCACGAGAAGTTGAACTTCACACATTACTTAAGTGTCAAAAAATCTATATGTACAGGCTCACAACTTTCTCAGACCCTGAAATTTATGGATGTTCAACCAAAAAAATGCATTCTGGAATAACAAGTTTTTAATTACGAAATTTCTCCACCC